TCAGTCTTATCTTTAAGAAATAACACAGTGTCGTTCGCAAGTTGCATAATTTTGATTTCTTGCTGGAAAATCCTTATTCCATTTCAATTGTGATTGTGCTCTATATTTAAAAACAAAAGTTGAGCAGCAATGAGGAACAAAAAAGCACTTAAGGGGCATCCTTGTCTTACCCCTCGTAATACAGGAGATTTTTTTGAGACATTCAGGTCCAGTAAAACAGCACTAGAAATTCCTTTACAAGGCATGCCAACATTACTCACAAAATCCTCTCCAGACCCAAAAGCTTTTAGAGCCTCCAATACAAAGGGATTTTCAATAGAGTCAAAAGCTTTATAAAAATCCAAAAATAGAAGCACTACTTCAGATTCAATATGATCTGAGTAGACCATTAAATCTCATTAGGGCCTGAGCACTACAGTGCGTAGGACCCTCTTGAAACTGAAACGATTATTTTTTGTTTCTGCTTCTTCTTCTTCTTCATGGCCATAAACAATTGTATTTTTGAGGGCCTAAACATGCTCAAATCCGCATGAAAATTTACACACACATCAGAACTGGCGAAAAATTTGATATTTTAAGGGAGTTGGACATGTCAATGCCAAAATGGCTCCATAGTGCCACCTTGAAAATTTCAACGGAGTCCCATCGGAAGCATATTTGACCTCGACCTACGCAATTTGGTAGGTATATGGAGGAGGTCAGGACGAACAAAAAAAGTCAGTGACAGCCATACTCTAGACCCAACAGGAAGTCCACCATTTTGAATTGTTCGTTTGTCCAACCTGAGCTAAGTCCTCCTAGGGGGTAAGTCACAAAGCGCTGAAATTTGGGTAGCATGTAGAATACGCCTTGAAGGTAAAATGTTATTAAAATCATCTGCAAAGGTCAAAGGGCGTGGCCATGGCAACCCTCTGATGTTTGATCCTTTGCCATTAAAGAGGAAGTACTGTGTAACTATCCTGCACCTGCTCCATTCTGCCTCAAACTATACATGTTTGATCAGACTGTTGTCCTGATCACATTCATATGCCCAAATCCATTCACAGTCATAGTGCCACCTATTGGTAACAGGCTGTTTGAGGCATCACACTTCCATGTGCTATTGCTTCAAACTTTGTGATGTCATTCTTAAAATTGGTCAGCTAAGTCTTCCCATGTTGACGATG